TCACTCACTCGCTCTCTCTCTCTCTCTCATCTCTCTCTCTCTCCTCTCTCTCTCTCTCTCTCTCTCTTCTCCCTCTCCTCTCTCTCTCTCTCTCTCTCTCTCCCTCTCTCATCTCTCTCTCTCGCTCTCTCTCTGTCTCTCGTTCTATCGTTCTCTTCTTCGATCTCTCGCCCTCCTCTCTCTGCTCTCGTCCTCATCTCTCACTCTCGCTCCACTCCTACTCTCTCCTTCTCCCTCAGCCTCGTGCTGGTCTCAGTCTCTCTCTCTCCTCTCTCTCTCCTCTCTCTCTCTATTCTCTCATCTCTCTCTCTCTCTCTTCATTCCTTCTCCTCTCTCTCTCTCTCTCACGCTATCTCTAGGACATCTCTCTGTCATTCCCTCAGTTCTCGTACCTCTCATTCTCTCTCTCACATATCTCTCCTTCGATCGTCCATCTACTGCTCCTTCCTCGCTCCTTCCCCCTCCCAATTGTAATTAGCTTGGTTTCTCACAAACTCGTACATATTTGCAATATAAATACACATGGATAATTATTTACCTCTTATATAATCATAGAAAAAAAATGTATAGAGTGTTTAGAATAACATTTTTGTTTCATTTCTCCCGGGAAAAAATATTAACTGAAACATGAAAGAAAAAAAATCTATTGTTTTCATTTTTTCTCATGAATAAACAAACATCTAAAAATATCAAAGATGAAAATCTCAACTATTTGAAAAAAAAAAAAAAAAATCTACCAAAAGCTTCATAAAAAAAGGTAAGTTGCCTTTGCATGGTGCATGCAACCACTAGTTCATAGGCCAGCAGTTCTCTGAGTTCCTTCGTAACAAAGGTGAACAAAAGGTAACAAAATGGCGGACAGATTCCAGGGCTGGTCCTTTACCAGAAGGGTCTGTATATGACTAAAGAGACGCTTTTATTTGTGTTTATGTCTTGTTATTACTATTATTTTATCATCATTGTTTTAATTATTACCACTTTTAGGAATTGTTATTGTTGATATTATATCATTATGTTATTATTACTTTGTTATCTTATTATTATATTACTTTATCGTTATTATTATTAATTTTATCATTATTATATATTATATCATTATTATTATTACTTTTATCATTCATAATTATTATTATGATGAGAGATGATAATGAGGATGATGATGATGATTATCATTGTTATTATCATTGTTAATGTCAGAGGTTTCGCCCATTACACACTGAAAAAAATAGTTTTATAATCTTTAAACACACGAACATGAAAGCGAACTATGAAAGAATAAAAAAAAAAAGATTACTGTGAAAACGTTTATGTTGAATTAAGAATAGTGGCGTGAGTACTCAATTTCTCACGTTTTTCTATTATTAAGAATTAGCTTCTAAACGGTAAAAAAATTTGCTCTCTTGGAAATAGAAAGGAATGTCAAAATATCAGTTTAGGATATTCAGAGCATATGCGGGATATGTGGGTGTATGGCGTGTCCATACTGATCGAGAGGTTGTGTATTTTATGATATATATGCACACACACACACATTCACATCCGCGTGTGTGTATGTATGTGTATGTGTGTGTATGCGTGCGTGTGTGTGTGTGATTGTGAGTGTGTGTAATGTTGGTGTGTTGTGTGTGTGTGTGTGTGTGTGTGTGTGGTGTGGTGTGTCGTGTGTGTGTGTGTGTGATCCTGATTGTGAGTGTGTGTGTGCGTGTGTGCGTGCGTACGCGTGTATGCGTGTGGCGTATGTATGTGCGTGCGTGCGTGTGCATATCTTTGAAGGGGCACGTGCGTGGGAAACACATGCCCCAACCCCCCCGCCTTCATTCCAGCAGCATGCGCGCTCTGGTGGCCACCAAGGTAACCACATCCATTGCGTTGACACGAGTGTAAACATTATTTTCTTTCTGTAGCTTTGTGTGTTATACGACTAAAGATGTTTAACGAATAGGCTAATGTATTCCTAGACCACATGCAGAGTTCTAAATACTAAATTAACGATGTGGTGATAGACAATATTGCTAGATATGAATAAGTCGATTGATAGATAGACCTATTGGTGTAAGTAGATGGTTGAGAAGTTAAATAGTGAGATAGAAGAGTGAATAAACTGTTTATAGTAAAGTTAATGCACCCATATTTATTTAAAATACTGATGGATTTTGCAAGGTCTCTGTTAACACCTAAATAGAATATAATATCTTAACATTTTGATTGTTCTTTATGTCTGGTGTAGACAGTGCCAATTATTTTTTGTCGATCTTTTGATATATTTTCCTTCTATCATCTCTCCTATTTTCTTTCTCTTCTCTCCCTCTGTGTCTTTCCTTCGTAATCTCTCTCTCTCTCTCTATCCCCCTTTCTCTATCCCCACTGTATTTCATCCCTCGTAATCTCTCCATTCTGTTTTCTTCTCTCCCTCTGTTTTCTGTCGTATCTCTCTCTTCTGCTCTCTCTTTCCTTCTCTCCTCTGTCTCTCCTCGTAATCTCTCTCTTCTCTTCTCTCCCTCTGTCTCTTTCCCTCGTAATCTCTCTTTCCTTCTCCCTCAGTTTTCGTGAACCTCTCTCTCTCTCCTCTCTTTCCCTCGTAGCTCTCCTCGCTTTTCTCTCTTTCTCTCTAGTAACTTCTCTCATCCTTTCTACCTCCCGTTTTTTTTCTCTCCCCTCCTCTTTCTTCTCCCCCCCCCCCACACTCTGTCTCTACATGTAAATTTTTTCCTAAACCTACCAGTGCCTCAACCCCCTCTCCTCTCTTAGAACAAACAAACAAGCAAATAAACAAACTCTTCTTCTCCTCCCCCCCCACCCCTACACCCCCCACCCGAAAAAAGAAAAAAAGGTAAAAGTCCTTTTATAGCACTATTAATCCTTTCTTTCTCTCTCTCTCTCTCCTTCTCCTAATCGCCGCCCAGACGGAGGAGAAGAAGGACGCCGCCTCTGCCGCTGAACTCGGCCTGGAGAACGTGGGCGGCGTGTTCGTGGTGATGGTGGGCGGGATAATGTTGGCTTGTTTGACCGCCTGCTGCGAGTTCGCGTGGAAGGCCAGGAAGCTTGCCACTGATGACGGGGTACGGGCCTATTTTCTTTTGTTTTGGTTTTTGTTTTTCTTTTTTTCAAATCGCTCACCCTTCTTGTATTTATCTTGTTTTGTCGAATTTTGTTTTAGGTTCGTTTTTTCTTTTTAGGAGATAATGTCTTAGTAACGTTTCACTTAAAAAGTTGAATTATATTATGTGTGTGTATATATATATATATATATATATATATATATATATATATATATGTAAATATGTTAATTAAGATAACCTTATAGGGACCAAAAATCTATATATTCGTCCAGATTCCCTTACTCCCGTATCCCCCATGTAAACAAAGCACGTCCCAACTCCCGCCTCGACTTCCTTCTCTCCGCAGATGTCCTTCACGGAGGAGCTCAAGAAGGAGCTCCTGTTCATCGTCAAGTGCAACGAGAACTCGAAGCCCGTCAGGAAGAAGCTCTCGCCCGCAGACACAGACACCTCGACCGTCTACAGCTCTTCCTCGACCTACGACTACTCGAACGGACACAACAAGCATGGCTATTAGAAGGTCGTCTGTGGTGCGGCATTGTTTTTTTTCCTATTGTGAGAGGAAGGTTATTTGTTTATTTATTTATTTTGTTTTTTGCGTTTGGAGGGAAGGGATTTGGTAGTTCGGCTGGAAGACATTGGGTTGGGAGGAGATTGGGGTGGAGGAGGAGGTGGAGAGGGAGGGGGAGCCAGACTGGTAATTTTGCAAAATGCGCGTGGATGATTGTTATGCGCGCGCGTGGATGCTTATTTAAAACAGTAAAAAGAAAAAAAATAAGCGAATTTCGTAGCGGCAAAACGACACTACCCTAAAATTTCGTAACTTTATACTGATTAATTTATTTATTTCGCGCACAAAGTAGATTTATCAGTCTGGAGAGGGAGGAGGAAAGGGAGGTGGAAGGAGAGGTGGAGGTGGAGAAGGAGGAAGAAAATGAGGAGGAAAAAGAAGAGGAAGAAGAGGAGGAGATTAGTATGGCGTTGGGGAAGCAGAGGAAAATGCTAAAGACATAGGTGGGGATGATGAAGACGACTTCGATGATGATGAACACGTAGAAGATGATGACGAAGAAGAAGACAAATATAAAGAAAAAACGAAGACAGAACACAGAAAATAGTGAAGAAGATACGGAAGATAAGAAAGATAAAAGAGGAGGAGACACAAACGAGAAGAGATAAGAGATAAAAATGGGATTTGTTTTGGTTCTCTATTAGCTTTCTTATAGCTCTGAAATCTCCCCAGAATTAGTGCTAAATATTCACATGCTTCCCGCCAATTCTTCGCTTTCACGTAGTAAACACAAACTCTGTAGCTTTAGTCATCACTGTCAGACACTTTAGCGCTCTTTCTGTCCCGCTAGCAAGCCCTACAATGTATTGTTGTTATCATCTTTGTTGAAAATTGAGCTTCGTTTGTTGATATCTTAGTTGTAACTTAGGATATTGTTATCTGTATGGTTCCCTGTTCTCATAAAATGTATAGTCTTTAAGTTATGTTTTTTTTTTTTTCATTACATTTCCTCCTACACTGTTCACATCCCTGACAATTGTATGAACGCTTGAAAACCGTTCGAAAGTTTTTTTTTCCATAAGGAATGTAGCAATACATGAAATGAAGAAATGATTTTAGTTCGGGAAAGCTTAGATCACTTTTTATCTTCTTATCGGCATGGCAGTTACCAACATAGCCAGGATGCGTGTGATTGGCTCGCCTGTAATTGAGATTTCATGATTGGTTGCCTCTCGACGATTTAAATATGGAAACTTTAGTTACCGTCGCATCCAGGACGAAATAGGTTGATGAGATGAGGACACCGCAAGGTCAGCCGAACAAGCCGAGTTCAAGATTTATATTTATTTCCGCAGACAAAGCCTCGGGCAACAGCGTAAATAAAGGCTTGAGATTGATGTCCTTAAAGGGAGTTTATTAGTAAAGGCGTCTTTGATGTACTATAAAATGAGTTTATTCAAACTAGTATGATACATGAGGAGGAGATTCCAAACATTCACTCAACAATAAATATTACTCGAGAAGGAGCTTACAGCGATGGCAGAAGGCGACGTGACGAGGGCCAGGTCGTCCCGCTGGCCGCTGCGACATGCGCGGGCGCTCCGGCGGTCGGCTGTACCGGGGACCTTTTTCGTGGAGGAGATGGACGCTATTTCGTCCAGCTTGACTGAGGATTGGGAAGGAGCCGCCGGAGGTCGTCTCGAGCCGCCTGTCGTCGTGGCGAGCGGGGACGAGCGGCCGACACGAGGTGGGGAGCGAGGGGCGCCGCAATCACTTCCCGAAGCAACCTTGCGCGAGGAGGGGAGTCAGGCAGTAGGCTGTGGCCGTGACGGTCGTTCCGGCAAGGTAGGACGTCGTGGTGAGGGTGAGGGTGGTGAAGTTGGTCGTCCAGATGGTGAGTCTGCGGTCGTCTCTCTGGAGGGCGTCCCTCTGCTGCCTCGAAAGCTCCTCCAGATTCACGACGTCCTCGAGGGTCCCGCCCAAGGACAGGATCGCGTCTGGAACCTCGTCGATGCTGCGGACGCCGGGGGAGACACGAGCGGTTATTTGGGGGCAAACGGGAGGCTCTCTCGTCGCCAGAAGGCGTTGCAAGATAGCACGTTTTGATAGCTAAAAAGGCTAAACAAGGATGCGGTTACACTTGTAAGATGGCAACAGGTAAAAGAGATTACTCTAAGGACCGCTAATCAAGTCTGCAGAGGAAGCTCGGAGCCCGAAGGAACTTACACGGCGGCCATGGCGGCGGACCTCCTCTTCCGCCTCTTGCACGCGGGGCCGCCAGCTGAGGTGGAGAGGCAGGTGGAGAGCGCCGTCAGGGTCGAGGTCATGAGCCGGGTCGTGGTCGTCGAGGCATAATAGGCGAAAACCCTCTCGCCTCGTCCGCTGTCGCCACCGTCGAGGGCCTCGTGCTCCTCCGAGGGCGACAGGTCGTTCCCGGGAGCCGCCTCGACGTCCTCCTCCGACGTCGTGCACCTGACCGTCGCCACGCCCAGCAAGCACACCAAGGCCACCGCCACGACCTTCATCTGCAAGAGGGGAAGGTCTTCGCGTGATTCTCAGTTCGCCGAGTGGCATTTCCCGCGAAAGAATAAAAAACTATACGCTTTCCTGTGCATGGCGAAGGTCTCTTTTCTATATTCTTTTTAAGGCGAGTTTCAAGACGAGATGAGTTACTCATCCTGCCAAGAAACATTATCTTTCCATTCTGAAGTATATGAAAAAATAGAACAATTAGAAAATGCTTGATTAGATTATTAACATCTCGGAAATTGGCTTTATAAAGTAGATGGTTTACTTCCGAAAAAGCAATGAATTTTGCACTGGAATCCCTGATCTGAATCTACTACACTGTTATCTGTTTGCAAAGGACAATGAACTACAATTATATTACGTAAATCCGTAGCGATAGTTTTTCCCATTTATCATACAAGGGATCATTTTTCTTTTCTTGAATGTCTATATTTAATAAACTGTTCTACATATGGTGGACTGGGAATACCCCGTGCTAGCATCTTATTAGGATTAAGAGACCTGCTAAGAAAATACTAACTGGACTCTGGATGAAGTCTAAAAGATTTAGTCCGTTGATTCCCTCAGTGGATTTTTTTAAAGCATTTGCGAAAAACTGTGTACATTGCATTATATCTTATCCAATCTACGTCCTCTCTGCCTCCCCTCCTCTCTCTCTCTCTCTCTCTCTCTCTCTCTCTCTTCTCTCTCCTCTCTCTCTCTTCTCTCTCTCTCTTCTCTGTCTGTCTGTCTGTCTCTCTCTCTGTCTTCTCTCTCTCTCTCTCTTCTCTCTCTCTCTCTCTCTCTCTCTCCTCTTCTCTCTCTTTCTCTCTCTCTCTCTCTCTTGTCTCTCTCTCTCTCTCTCTCTCTTCACACACACACAGACATTCGCTCACTCGCACTCTCTCTCTTGTTAGAAACTTCCCCTTTCGGTTATTTTACACTCCTCGTATGTTTATATATATATAATATATATTATATATATATATATATTATATATATATATATATATATAATATACATATATGTGTACATATGTATGCACACACACATATATGTATGTATGTATGTATATATCAGGGAATTGAAACATGTCAAAGATCACAAGCACTTTGAAACAAAACAGATTAATCTTCAAAGGCCAAGAGCTGTTTGATTGTTTAAATATGAGTTCGAAAACAGGCACAAACACACACACTTCAAAATCACTTCGCTAAACCCTTATAAAACTCACAGTAAACATCATGGTATCTGTGAACGATTTACATTTCTTAAAGCAAGAGACACGAAAAGAAGAGTCTTGTCTTTTCTCTCTCTGTTGCTCCACTAACCTTGGTGAGGTTTATGAATTTTGGAGAAGACTGAGAGACATTCGTTATATAAAGGTTTCAGAATTAGCCCCGGGTTATGCAACAGGGAAATAGCTGGGTTACGTCCTGTTATTATCCGCCCTCTTTTACTATCGTTATCATCATCATTATTCCCCTTTTCCTCAGTTTATCGTGATCTTACTTCCTGCGTCTTGGATATCAGCACGATCAGATACGTTTAATAAAAAAAACAATAAAACTAAGAAAAAAACATCCACTTTTTACACGATAATTGAAACCTTGCTATTTCAGGAAGCAAACTTGACTATGCTATTTTGGGAAGCAACTGTAACACACACACATCACGTGCACAAACGGGAAAATTATATTGTTGTTGAGTCTTTGGAGGAACACCGCTCAGTAGGAACTGAAGAGGCATGGGTAGATGTGGAGAGAAAGATGTGTGGAGGAAAGAGAGATAGATTAATGGAGAGAGGGAGTGAGGAGCAAGAAGAAGAAGGAGAAGAGGAAGAAGAATGTGTGGGGAGAGAGAAAGATAGATTAATGGAGAGAGGGAGTGAGGAAGCAAGAAGAAGAAGGAGAAGAGGAAGAAGAATGTGTGGGGAGAGAGAAAGATAGATTAATGGAGAGAGGGAGTGAGGAGCAAGAAGAAGAAGGAGAAGAGGAAGAAGAATGTGTGGGGAGAGAGAGAGAGATTAATGGAGAGAGGGAGTGAGGAGCAAGAGAAGAAGGAGAAGAGGAAGAAGAATGTGTGGGGAGAGAGAGAGAGATTAATGGAGAGAGAGAGAGTGAGGAGCAAGACGAAGAAGGAGAAGAGGAAGAAGAATGTGTGGGGAGAGAGAGAGAGATTAATGGAGAGAGAGAGAGTGAGGAGCAAGACGAAGAAAGGAGAAGAGGAAGAAGAATGTGTGGGAGAGAGAGATAGAAGATAATGGAGAGAGAGGGAGTGAGGACAAAGACGAAGAAGGAGAAGAGGAAAGAAGAATGTGTGGGAGAGAGAGAAAGATAGATAATGGAGAGAGAGGGAGTGGAGGAGCAAGAAGAGAGAAGGAGAAGAGAGGAAAGAAGAATGTGTGGGGGAGAGAGAGAGAATGGTGAGCAAGAGGAAGGAGAGGATGAAGAAGAATGTGTGGGGAGAGAGAAAGATAGATTAATGGAGAGAGAGTGATGTGCAAGAGGAAGAGGAAGAAGAGAAAGAAGGAGGAAAGGGAGGAGGAGAAGACGAAGCAATGATAGTAGTGGCAGAACAAAGAGAGAAGAGAAGGAGGAGTGAGACAGAGAGAGAGAGAGCAAAAAAAGACGAAGATTTACAGACAGAGAGAGAGAGAGAAGCAAAAAGACAAGAAGATAAACAGACAGACAAAGACAGCAAGAAAGAGAGAGAGAGAGAATAAACTTTCCGATCGTTAATCATATCAGAACACAAATACTAATAATTAATGAATAAATAAAGATAAAATGAGAACCACAACTGTAAAAAATATATATAATTCTTCACGTCAATATCACACACAACAACCGTCAACAGCAACACTCACTTATGCAAATTTTCCTCGTGTGTATTTTTTTCCCTTTTTTCCTGTGTCGAACGCAAGAAAACTAAAAATAGAAACAAGCTCGAAAAAGGAGACAATGTGTGTTTGTGTGTGTGTGTGTATATATATATATAATATATATATTATATATTATATATATATATATATATATAGGAGAGAGAGAGAGAGAGAGAGAGAGAGAGAGAGAGAGAGAGAGGAGAGAGAGGAGAGGAGAGAGAGAGAGAGAGAGACAGAGAGAGAGAGAGAGAGAGAGAGAGAGAGAGAGAGAGAGAGAGAGAGAGAGAGAGAGAGAGAGAAGAGAGAGAGAGAGAGAGAGAGAGAGAGAGAGAGAGAGAGAGAGAGAGAGAGAGAGAGAGAGAGAGAGAGAGAGAGAGAGAGAGAGAGAGAGAGACAGAGAGAGAGAGAAGAGAGAGAGAGAGAGAGAGAGAGAGAGTAGAGAGAGAGAGAGAGAGAGAGAGAGAGAGAGAGAGAGAGAGAGAGAGAGAGAGAGAGAGAGAGAGAGAGAGAGAGAGAGAGAGAGAGAGAGAGAAGAGAGAGAGAGAGAGAGAGAGAGAGAGAGAGAGAGAGAGAGAGAGAGAGAGAGAGAGAGAGAGAGAGAGAGAGAGAGAGAGAGAGAGAGAGAGAGAGAGAGAGAGAGAGAGAGAGAGAGAGAGAGAGAGAGAGAGAGAGAGAGAGAGAGATGGATTAACGCGTATTAACGACAATGTTGATGATTGAAGTATTTCATGATGATGATAACAGATAATAATAATAATGATAATGATGATAAGGATAATAACAACAATAAATATGATTATTTTAACAATAACAGAAACAACGAAAACAACAATAACTACAATAATGATAGTGGTAACAGGAATAATAATGATGATAACAATGAAAATGATAATGGTGAAAATAAGGATCGTAATGATTATAATGATGATGATGATGATAATGATAATGATAACAATGATGATGATAATAATAATGATAATGATAGTAATGGTAATAATGATGATAAGGATGATAGCAGTAATGATGATTATTGTAATAGCAATGATGATATTGATAATGATAAGAATTTGTATAATAATACCAAAGAGGATGATATTAATGATAATGATGATGATAGTAACAACACAAACAATTATGATAATGATAGTAATAATGATAGTAATAATAACTAAGATAATAACAATGATAATGAAGATGATCATTTCATAATATTTAACAAGCAAGTAAATGAAGGACTATTATGAAAAAAATAAAGAAATGGAAACGACTGCATAAACAATTTGTTAAACAAACAATTTAAATTATTTGGTCATGAATCTGAACAAGCAAATAAGCAAAATAAGGATAATGAGAAAGATGATAAATGTAATCATAAATTGACTAAACTATTGAATTTATTGAAATTTACTTTAGTTTATGTATACAATTCAATTTTTTGTAAGGTGTGTCTGCAAGTTTGTTTTATGAAAATTTAGTTTATACGAGTTTATGTATGTAAATCTATGTTTACGTATATCATATGTTTTGTTTTATTAGAATAAGAAATATATACATGATTATGTATTTTTAGATAAATATAAGTGTGTGTTTATACAAGCTTTATGTAAGTTTTCAGATGTGTAAGTTTACAGATGTGTAAGTTACAGATGTGCAAGTTTACTGCAAGTTTGATGTGTAGTTTCAGATGTGCAAGTTTTCCGGATGTGTAAGTTTACAGATGTGTAAGTTTACAGATGTGCAAGTTTACAGATGTGCAAGTTTACAGATGTGCAAGTTTACAGATGTGCAAGTTTACAGATGTGCAAGTTTACAGATGTTGCAAGTTTTACAGATGTGCCAAGTTTACAGATGTGCAAGTTTACAGATGTGCAAGTTTACAGAAGTTTACAGAGCAAGTTTAGATGTGCAAGTTTACAGATGTGGCAGTTTTACAGATGTGCAAGTTTACAGATGTGCACAGTTTACAGAGCAAGTTTACAGATGTGCAAGTTTACAGATGTGCAAGTTTACAGATGTGCAAGTTTACAGATGTGCAAGTTTACAGATGTGCAAGTTTACAGATGTGCAAGTTTAGATGTGCAAGTTTACAGAGCAAGTTTACAGATGTGCAAGTTTACAGAGTTACAGATGTGCAAGTTTACAGATGTGCAAGTTTACAGATGTGCAAGTTTACAGATGTGTTTAGATGTGCAAGTTTACAGATGTGCAAGTTTACAGATGTGCAAGTTTACANTTTTATTATTTTTTTATTTTCATTATTTTTTATTTTTTTAATAACTGCGAATGTTTTAATAGACTTGAATTTCAAAATAGAGTCCTGTATAGAGAGAGAATATCTAATGATTGGTAGAGTACCCATTATTTATTATTATTTATTTTTTTTTAATAGAACTGCCAATGTTTTAAATAGAGTTAATTTTCAGTCGTATAACAGGGAGATATCTATATGATTTTGTAGAGTACCATTATTTATTATTTCAATTTTATTTTTTTATAGACTGCCATGTTTATAAATAGAGGTTGAATTTTTAAATAGTCTCATAGAGCAGATATTAGTCAATCATAGAGCATAGCAATTTTCTTCAAGTAACTACCATGCCACTTTAATAGAGCTGACTAACAACAGAGTCATAGAGCAGATATGAATCAATCATAGAGATCCTTTTCTTTCAGTAACTACACAACTTTATAGAGCTGACTACAAACAGAGTCAATAGAGATAGATATTAGTCAATCATAGAAGCCATCCTTTTCTTCAGTAAACTACACCACTTTATAGAAACTGATTGCAAATAGAGTCATAGAGCAGATATTAGTCAATCAATAGAGCATCCTTTTCTTCAGTAACTACAACCACTTTATAGAGCTGACTACAATAGAGTCATAAGAGTAGATATTAGTCAAGTCATAGAGCATCCTTTTCTTTCAGTAACTACACAACTTTATAGAGCCTGACTACAATAGAGTCATAGAGCAGAATTATCCGAAATCCTATTTTTTTTTTTGTTTAGAAAGAGAAAAGAGAAAGAGAAAAAGAGAGAGAGAGAAAAGAGAGAGAAGGAGAGAGAGAGAGAAGAGAGAGAGAGAGAGGAGAGAAGAGAGAGAGAGAGAGATAGAGAGAGAGAGAGAGAGAGAGAGAAAGAAGAGAGAGAGAGAGAGAGAGAGAGAGAGAGAGAGAGAGAGAGAGAGAGAGAGAGAGAAGAGAGAAAGAGAAAAGAGAAAGAGAAAGAGAAAGAGAGAGAGAGAGAGACCGAGAAAGAGAAAGGAAAATAAAGAGCGAGAGATTACTACAACGAAAACCTTCATTCCTTCGCTATGTCTCTTTTTCATTCTAAAAAAGAGACATAGCGAATGAACGAAGGTTTTCGTTGTACTAATCATGTTGAGTTGAGTGATTAGCGTCGCCGGATTGAGCGATTGAGGAGGCTACAAAATCGGCATAAAACCTGATTGGATTGTGAATGGGGTAGGATTCTGTGTCTGTCTGTCTGTTAGGCCTGGTGTGTCTTCCTCTCTCTCTTTCTTTATTTCCCTTTCTTTTCTCACGCTTCGCTCTCCTTCTCTCTTCTCTCTCTCTCTCTCTCTCTCTCTCTCTCTCTCTCTCTCTCTCTCTCTCTCTCTCTCTCTCT